CTCAATTGCACGCCAGGTGAGCAATTTTTTTGTATATCGATATGTAAATACGTCAAATTATTGTTACCGGCAGTACCATTTTAGGTTATCGTGTGTAGTGATAAAGTGTGGTGTTTTTATGTCGTGTAGCATTCACAATTACATCTCAACTGCGTAATATCACAAAATAGTTAACATGTCTAGGCAGTATTGTTATATTATCATATTTCCTCATTTAAACTAAAAAATATTGATAATACACGAGTAAAATGTAATATTCGCTGTTTTTTTGTGTCGTATTAGTTTGCTCCGGTATCAGAGCCTCATGATGTAAATTATTAGGTCTAGTTCAGTGTTCCGCAGCCTTTTTCACCAGCAACACATCCTAATTTGTTAAAGACGCATGGTGACACACCACAAAATGTCGCCAGACGAAAATGGTTTACGAAACTGTACATGACTGCAAATACTTATCTACATATAAATTCTTGCCCTATAAGAATGGAAACATATGAAAGCAACACATAACACATGTTGAATAAAACTATCGATGATGAACCTATTTAGAATTTGAGGTTATCATGGCGGTAATCGCCCTGATGGTGGTGGCGGGAAGGATCTCTGAAACATTGGTAAACTTTTACCAGACTATAATGAATTCTTCTCGGGCTACCATCTGTGTCAGCGAACTGAAGTTCAGTACCCTGCAAAGTAGGACGAAGCTGGTTCTCGAAACGTCGATGTTTACTCCATTCAACTACCTTTCACGGCTGGTAGCCCGAGAAGAATTTGTTGTATTTAGTCGACGTGAAAGCTTCAGATTATACATTCTACAAGACTACACGGCGCTACAACCCCGAAGACAACCATATTTGAACGTGTATGTGTGTATTGGGTATTCTAATTATTATAACCTGAGAATATACAGTTTCTTATAAAAAATCGCGACACATTCCTGTGCCATGACACTTCGGTAGCGAACACTGGTCTAGTTATGTCAGCCTCACCAGTATGCCTGTAACAGTAGCCTTTGAACTTTGTTACAAATTAAAAATAATGTCTCTTACGAATTGGTTAAAGCTAACTATATTTATACTGATCTAAACCTGTAAAATAAAATAAAAGAAGGGAAATGTAACGCACTTTGATGTAGGGCACATTATAATTAGTAATAATTAATACTTAAACAGTTTGTGGTTTTAAAATTAACAGAAAATACATTAATTTATTGACAAATTAAAAGCTGATATAAGTTTGAGGGGTGTTTACAAAGTAACAGACGTCATATGATTTATTGATGCTTCGTATTAATATAAGACTTTATTATGCACGTAAAACCTGAGTGTCCCGTTTAATAACTGATGTATTCAGTTATAGTGTGAAAATGTCTGAACTGATACATAACTGGTTTGTTCTTTTAACTGAAATATAGGATATTTTCCTCACAGTTTTCTTATTTCCTTGATTTTATTCTCTAAGTAATTTTACGCAACGTTTCGCTAGCAACTGTGCCGGATCGTCATGTTAACTTTGCATAATCGATTCATTATTAAATTAAGAACGCTGCGAATTATGTTCCCTGCGTTATCCAATTTCACTGAAAAATAAGTGAAGTTTGATCTATTTGCGATCTAATTAAAATATGTTCTTCGGTATTTATATTATTGCTGATTCAATATGAATAACATTTTCTGTCCGTCTTCCAGCCAATTTACACACTTTTCGAAAATTTGTAACGAACTCCGTGCAGAAGAGTCTTTGATAAGCTACTAATTTCTCAACTTCTCAAGAAATCGTCCGTATTTTATGGAACTCTTGAGTTTAATTACTGTATTCGTAAGGATCAGCTACTGTTCCACAACATAAGGCAGATAAATTCAGATCGCAATACCAAGCGCTGTTTTATTAAGATACGTTTTAATATTAACCTCAAATATAAACTTGCATCTTTCATGTGGTTTCTTCCCTTCAAATCTGGTTTTAAATACATTGGTTGTAGTAATACAGTACGTTATAATAATGTGCAGATTATCCGTGTCTTGTTTCCATAATTATCTTCAGCTGTCTTCTGTGTCGTCAGCATTTCCGCCGTCCCTATTACCAGGCTCACATTGCTTATAATCCTAACGTCTTCACTCTTATTCTCTTCCTACCATAAGGACGAACGGGCATTATCTGGTAACCTTTGACTATAAGATGTTCTTTCTCCCCATCAGAAATTCAGCTGCAAAGAGTTAAAATGAAGCGCTACTTACAGATTGGAGGCACTCAGTTTAATTTTATGCTTAATTATCATCAAATTGTAATTTTTAAATTCTATAATACACTGGATTTATAATGAATAGCTGACTATAAATTATATTTAATGACTTTTTTACTGTGGTAAGATTTCCCCTAAGTAATATAAAATTGTCTACAGCATTAATAGGTCACGATGATGACATGCTGATATATGTTGCTAACAAGTAACTAATTTTGTTATCCTTAATTACGGTAATTTAATTACTGTTTGTTATGCGTAAGACGATGTAATATATTTTTTCATGTCGATATCTGTGTGCTTTCTTTGCAGGAAGTGAATGTGTTAGACACACAGTTGAGAGTAATTTATGTCCACAGTTTTATCTGGAAAGCTAATAAACGAATTCGTCTGGAATTTTGATATTGGGAATTTATACCAAATCTTGTGTGGCGAATTTAATTCTGGTTCATATGAATCCAATACAATGCATAGTATGCCAGAAACTAAGACCGAACTTTTGTCGGTTTTCTAAAAGCCTGTCTATTGAACAAAATGAGGACCTGCCAAGTTTTGCATGGGACTTTTATCCTTGTGGCAAATATTTAACAGAATCCACAAAATCCATTTCCTGTCCAAGCATGGTGGGATTACTTTTGCAACAGTGGGTTTGTACGCGTCCGAAATAAATTAACACGGTGGTCACTGAGGTGTGCAAAATGACAAACCATTCGTATATGCTTTTGGGAAATATCCCTGCTGCACTGAACCCTTGTTTATAATGTATGTTTGCTGGTTCTACCCTGCTGACTGAACCCAGAACCCCTTGATTGCTTATTTACCAACAGCCCTATTTGTTCTGAAAACGTTTTCTCTTCCGAGACTCGAACCAAGGACAGGCCAGTCTGTTGAAACATTGCCACATACTGGAAACTACAGCTGCATTGTCACGCCAATTCAAACGTATTTGTGTGTGCGTGCGTGCGTGGTCGACTGCGGAGTGATGTCTCTAAAATGGCAAGTAGTTTATTTAGTAACACACTGCTCTTTGCTTCAGAGACTACTGTGGCGTTTGCTAGAGAAATATGCAAACGTTCTGCGTGTGTTTATTCGTTGCCAGTTGTGTAAACAGTTTCTTAATGTTTATTTTAAAAACAATCTTCTGCACAGGAGTTTAGTGTATATCATTTCATTTAACATTACTCCCACATGTTTCGATTGTTTTTATAATGGGTATCCACAATCACAGTGCTACGAATTCGTGTTTGATTTTGCATTGTGTTATTATATTTATTTTCATTTTGTTAACTTCCCAGTGAATCCGTTATTGACTTGTACATTGCCATTAAAGGCACATTTGACGATGCTCAGTTATAGGCTAATGCATATTTTAGAATACTATGTGTAGACTGCTCCTTAAAATGCGTATTTTGACTGAATACACGAAAGAATTCTATACTATGAAATTACATGCGCTTATTGATAAAAATTAGTCTAATTAATTAATCTATATATACAGAATTATGTAAGGGAACGGAGGTGTACGACCACCCTATTTTCTCAAGACTTATCTTAATATTATCCTGTCACCAATTCCTAGGTATTCTAGGTAGTATCTTACCTTCAGGCTTTCTAACAAAAATGTTCTATACACTTTTATTTCCCCCATGCGTCCTACACACATCGCCTATCTAATCCTACCTGATTTATGATCTCTATACTATCTGGTAAGGAGTTTAAATTATGTTGCTCATTATGTAATTTTCGACCACACGTTTATGTCTAAACTAGAGTGAATGACTCGTATGATTAATGGCGTAACGGAAATGCTATGTAACGTGAAACATTTTACATTTGCCGAAGCAATGAAAATATATACGTAAAAAGCAAACGTCTACGGAATTAGCGACGGTCTGCCACAGGCGTATTCGAGTTTACGCGGTTTTTCTTTCGAACTGACGGTTGGAAACATACAGGTGACCGAAGATTCACGCAGTCCATATCTGACACATGTTCTTTTTTTTTTGGGGGGGGGGGGGTTACGTGCGGCAAATGTCCACCGCGTTCAGCGATGCATACATTCACTCTTTTCCTCATGTTTGATGCATCCCGGCGAAGGGATTCTCTGTCATTGAAAGGGTTCACCAGTCGAGATATTGAGAATTTATTTTGCACAGGAGAATCGGAAAATGTGTCCCTAAACTTTGGCAAGTTAAGTAAGAACGAGGTACCATCTAATGTTCAACGATGCCAACTTAAGCGATTCTGTATTTTCAAACTCACCGAAGAAGGTTTTTTTTTTTTTGAACACGGGTCGTGTAATTTTTAACCATATTCAACTTTTAATCGTTAGCTGAAAATTAAGTAGTTTCATCAGCGAATGTGAAGATGGAAGTGAAACGCTTATTTTCATTTTCCTTCGAATTTCGCTCAATTGAAGGAGAATGCAGTCGCATTCAGTAGGTTGCACGTGTTTTTCCGAATCTCTTCGCCTAATTGATGCAATGAGCAACTGCTTCGTATTAATGCAGGCCTATACGGATGAATATCACATTCACAGTTATGAAATTAAAGCTTGTAATAACACCTCGATTTTTTTATGTTTTTGCTTTTTGATTAAGGGTCACTGTTTCTTTTTCAGGATATTTTGGAATGGTGACAAGACGGACGCAACTGTTTTGCTGTGCGGCTTCTTTTAAAACATTGATTTAAGGGATTTGTTATAGACAGTCAGTGCCTTGCGGATATTAAAGGGTCAGAATTTCATTTTCAGAGTTCAGACATATTATTTTATTAACTCTGAAAGGAAAATGTGATATATCACACAAGATGAATATATAAGTTATAATGGCCATTTCGAGGGTTAATGATCAGTGTGGAATTAAAAATTTGTGGACTTTATATTGGTGATCTGTGTTGCTGCTTATCGGATAAATTTTTGGGAGTGACACTAGGTGTTGGTAAGTACAATAATTTAAATACATTTAGTGGAGTTTAATGTGTCTGAAAACTACAAGCTTTTGTACACGTTGATACAGTTTCTCGATGTTTTTGCTGTAACGTAGTCTTTTGTTAGGTAATGAGGTTACCTATCACATAGTCACGTTATATATCAAACGTTTCCTCTGGAAACAGAAAGTCAAGAAAAATATTCTTTTAAATTTCTAGACACGATTTGTGCAGTGTTACATGACGCGGTTCTTAGAGAGAAAATAATATTTAAGAAGTAAGTGATGTGAGGAGCATGTTGCGCGCAAAAGGAAAATAAAGAAACACATATTTATACTATGAAAAGAGAAATGAAAGCGATTTTTGGGTAGAATTTTAAGGAATATAAATCATAATATTAAAATATATCTGAAACAAACAATTTAGATTGGTGTTGTCTGAAATGATCTTCCACAGGATAGGGTCCAATTGTGGGTTGTGAATTCGATAATGAATTTTTGGATTTCATAAAATCTTGCGTATTCCTAGACAATCTGAGCGGCTTTTAGCTTGCGGCGATGGACTATGCTTCTAATTGCTAGTTAATTGTACAGGCATAGCCACAGTAATAGAGTAATTTTTTGTCTGCAATAGACGACCGGTCGAATCTTCTTTCGATTTATTTATAAACATCCTGTTAATCAGTGTCAGAACATAGAGAGAGACAGATCAGAGCAAATTACCTTCTTTTCAACGTTCCTCTCTGTCAGCATATATTTACATCTTAATATTCCTCATTGTTACGAACAAATTTTGTAACAGCTCCCCATCATTCGTAAAATGAACTTTTGGGTATGTGGAAAGGTGAAGCATGGATGGGAATAATAAATCTGGCTTTGTCCGCAGAGAGAGAGTGTTGAAGTGAAGCCGATGAGCTGACGGTCTGATAAGACTTAGAGGATGGACATTTATCTAGTGGCATCCGGTTCAACCAGATACGGTTATCACAGCGTTGTACGCTGTCACTGTTCCAATGAAATTAATTTGTTACAGGAAAACAAAAGACTTTTACGTGGTTTTAATTTAATTCAGTGTTTTTGACGTAATATTGTATTGTCACCAAAGCTGTTTTATTTCTTATTTCTTAAAGTTTACTTGCGACCTGACGTAGATTCGCTTTTGAGATGAAGGAGGAAAACTGATTGATTTGTTGAGTGTCCAACTGCTTTTGAAAGATTTCATGCAATGTTTTTGTATGGGTGTGAAATTGGTCTCTCACCCTGGCTGAAGAATATAGATTGAAGATGTTTGAGAACAGGGTGCTGATTGTATTCGGTCCTAAAGAAAAGAAAGTAACACGAGGCTACATAATTAGAATTGTTTTCTTATTATCATCTTAACTTACGGTCAGTCGTCTGGTCTGTTCCAATACAGATTTAACTTCTGGAATTATAAATCATTTTAGACATAAGACGGAGAATTTGTCCATCATAAAGCTTCTAGTGAGACTGTAACACAAGTTTCCAGTGTTTGAGCTATCGTAGACACTGCTCATCGCCCTGATGATGGACGCAGAATGGTCCTCTGAAACACTGGTAATTTTTTACCAGACTACACGGCGCTACGACTGAGCAAACAACCATCTTGATGGGTTTAGAGTCAGTGGGATAAAGAACGAGTTCCCTGGACTTTATCACGAACATTTTCATGGTCCATTTCGCTTTGATTGGCATCTGCAACAGTGTTATTAATTTCGACCTCTAATGAAGCGTAGAATTCTCCATCTATATTGATCGAATGACGTCAGAATTGACTAACTCCGGTTCTGTGCAGGGGGTTCGTAACGCGGGGACCGAGTGTGTCCGAAAGCTCTCTTATATCATTCGGAAATTCCTGGACGGAATGATAAATTGCGTAGAGGGACCTCTACACTAAGAGCTTTTAGTATAATCATGTAATGTGAAACACTAGTCGGAATTGATAATTATTTTAAAATCAATAATACTACAAAGGAAATTAATTTGGCTGTTTTAGAAGCGTAAGTAGGATTTATGGTTCTCAGGGCTGAGAGTACGGAAGAAGATTCCTCTCTTCTGGGTTGTAGCGCCTTGTAATCTGGAAGACGTTTACTAACATTTAGGAGGTTCTTGATGCCACCATCATCAGGGCGACGAAGGCCATCTTAATTTTTGAAGATTGTCTTGTAATAAAACTAGTTTGTTTAGGCGTGTTTTTTATCTTCTTAATGCAGTTGCTCCTTCACTTTGTACGTGACACCAGCTGTTACACCGCACACATCCAATCCCTAAATCACCTGTTTGATGTTGACTGTAAAACCCACTGCAATACATACATTTTGAATCAGGTTTTTCCTGCCCTGCATTTTGTGTGCTCTTCAGATTGCGATTTTTTACTGAGTAGTTACCGCCCTTAACACCGTCTATCCTAACTCAGCACAGCCAGCCTCGTATCCTGTGTATATCGGGGAAAAAGCGGCCGGGGTGTGAAGCTGGACTCATGTTTATCAAAAGTGACCGACAAGAACGACGGAAGTCAAAATTGAATGTTTCTGCGAATCTACTGTCACGTGCCATTGTGAGCCAATTGGCTTCAGAGATATATATATATATATATATATATCTGCGGCACCCAACTTCGTTCTTGTCGGTCACGTTAGGGCCGAGGTTAAGAATTGGTGGAGTTGTGCCTCCATTTGTCCATCCGTATTTATGGATGGTTTATTATTAAGAAGAGGACAGTCTTATCATTTACTTTTATATCTGCCTATGAAAGTTATATTAATATATTTTTTAATTCGTTTGTATTAATATATGTATATATGTATGATTTGAGGTTTTCACAGCGGTGAGTATGAAGATTTCTGTCTTCTGGGTTGTTGCGCTGTGTAGTCTGGTAGAAGTTTCCCAACGTTTCAGAGGTGATACTACCTCCGTCATCAGGGCGGTGATAGCCCTGATGACGGAGGCAGTATGACCTCTGAAACGTTGGTAAACATCGACCAGACTACACAGCGCAACA